CACTCTCCACACCTCTCTCTCTCTCTCTCTCTCTCTCTCTCTCTCTCGCTTATTTTCTCTCCGAGTCGGGATAAGATATTTAAGAGAATTTAGCGTGCTTACCGCGATCAGAGGATTCATGTCGGCTTCTGCGATGCCGCTCTGTTCTGTGACTCTGTGCAAGGTAGACCAGGGTCCTTTATACTCCACGAGAAGCAGGGGGATACTTGAAGCCCCCACGTAGAAGAAGAGACGGGGGCCTCTCGAGTGAGAGTAATTCAGCTGTGAGACGATTCTCTCTTCCCCTCCCTCTCCGCGCCACCCCTCTGTCCTTTCAATTGTGTTCGTCTCTCTCTTTCTCCGATGAACGATACACCTACTCTCATCCTCGTCGCACGTCAACCGATTCCTCGACCCTCTGCCTTCGGGAATAGCCGAATTTCGACGATCCAAACGGTTGCGAAACGGTTCTTCTTCTCTGGCTCGTCACGAAAGCCATCCCAAGTTGCGTCCTAGACCTAGACTCTTGGTACACATACTGCTTGCCTCGAGTCATCGGATGATTTCACAAATCTTTAAGTTTTAAGCCGATCGTAAAAACGACCGTTCGATTCGTTTCTTTGTAATTAAAATGGCGCAATAGGCTTTTTTCGAAGTAAAAATTTCAACGTTCAATTATTGGACAATTTTGGACAATTTGTATTCGCTGTTTTATTTTATTTATCGCTCTCTCTCTCTCTCTCTCCTTCGCTTCACGATAGGCCTAGTTTGTAAATCTGTAAGTTGCGAAAAGATTGTTTGTACAGAAGTGCCGTTGTCGTCAAACTTGTGGCGTAATCGTCCAAGTTCTAATTCGAGATCGATCGATTCGTACGATGCGTGTTAAGTACGAATCGATGGTTCCAAATCTTGTTAAAATTTCTATTTGTATTCCACTGATATTTTCATCGACATCAGCCGACTATTAGATTGAATAATAAACGATGCGCGGATTTCAAGGAATACAAATATTACTTATGCTTGAACAAATATACCAAAGGAAAAGTTGCTGGATTCTCGAATAATTTTAATTTTCTTGCGTTTAAACGCGAATCTCTGGATCCCGTATGGATCGAAATATGGATTTCCCTTTATTTCGTCGAAATGTCCGTTTTTCCATAAGGAAATTTCACTCGAATATCTCGTTCAATAATAACGACTAACCAATTCGAGCCTCGGAACGGATATCTCATAACCAATTTCCGCGTATTCTCGTCGAACCCGTTTCGTTTTTAGAGCACAGGAAGCAGCGATATTTCATTTTCACTTTAATTCTGTTAAATAATCTATCGCTCTACTTTTACAACTCCATCGAGTATAAAACGATATTCGAACGAGCCAAAGACGCGTTAAGAACATATGAAAATTCATCTGAACAACGTCAATGAGCCGTGATTTCTACGAAATTCGGGAGATACGGATCATTAACAGGAGAGAGAGAGAGAGAGAGAGAGAGAAACATCGTTCGAATTCGCCACGATTCTTTGTGTCCATTTTACGTAACACAGTTATCATAGAGACGCAACGTATCGAACGTATCCTCGAAGGCACCCGTTAGATCGTCGATTCGACTGATCTCGAAGAGGAGGAGAGCATCAGGAAGAAAAGTAACGTGACCGACCGTCTCATACATCTCGTGTACCTTCCTCGCGTTTCGAGCGTAACCTCTTTGCTGCTCGTTTTGCTCGTCAACAGGCGCTCACTGTAGATAAATCTGCAAACATGCAAAGATGCACACGGTTAAATGCAAAATAATGATCAAACGATTTCGAATACGGTTGTCCAGCAACCGTAGGCCCGTGCGAGTGATGGGAATGGCCACGAAACGAATGGGAAAATGCTTTCTTCGTCGTAGAATTTAATTATACGGCTCGTGAACTCTCGACCCACTTCTTGATACGATCCGATCCGATGTTCCTGTCATCCTTCGCCTCTTCCTTCGCCTTCGTGTGCTCGCGCCATTTCCGGTGCGTCCTTCGCTCGCGCGCACTCCATCGTGGTCGTTACGTTAGCCTTTTTCTCGTTGCAAGAGTTCGTTCGATTGTAACGAGAGTGTGATTCGTTTTTCACTTGGAAAAGCGACTGTACGTGCATTTCGTAAATGCATTACGTAGAGGATAAACTATCGACGAGGAAAACAGGAAATTAAACGTTTGTTGCTCCTCTTGTTGTCGATTCTTTTTAATCCGTTTAATAAGGGAAGTCGTGGTAAAATTGCAGCGTTACGAAATACACGTATACATATAATACACATTACGCGTGTATGCATTTGAATTAAGATGCTGTTTCTTTGAGAAGAAAGAAAAAAAAAAACACCATCGATCAAGGCTCCGTTGCGGATAATTAATTTGAATCCACGCAGAGTTATCTTCGCGTTTATTTGCCTCGAGTATTTTTTTTTATTCGATCCACATTTCATCTGAAATTTTTCTGATAAACCATTCCCTCGCACGCAGTGTCCGCAGTTATTTCATCTTTATTAAACGGCCGAGTAATACGCATCTGTGTACGCATACCGAGATTGGAACGGAGGCTTCGAATGGTGGACGTTAAATCTGAACGATAAAGACACCGATAGCTCGTTGTAATGTATTTACTATGTATCCTGCCGTTTCTCGCACGCCAATTTATCCCGGTATATTTTATTAAATCGTACAAGAGAAAGCCCAAGCTGCGGAGGTGGATCGAATATATGCATTTCATTACAAAACTATACGAATCGATTTTAATCTTTAACTTCAGCCCGGAATACCCTTCGAATTGCATTCTTCTTCGTAATTATACCTTTCCTCGAATCATCAATTACTCGTATCGAAGCGTGAAATTGGTTAAACATTTTTCAAACGAGGAGGGGAAGGGGACACACACGTCTCTTTCTCTTCTCCGAAAAGGAAAAGTGAGGAGACGTTGACCTACTTGGTGGAATGATACAGGCGGTGAAATATATATCGCATCGAGGAAGGGTACCGAGGAACCGGGTCGAGGATTAAAGCGAGGATTAGTTGGACGGCGGCGCGCGTGCAAAAATTTCGATTTCCTCGATGGCCTGCCTCGAGATCCATCCGGCCGATCTCGATGACTCGTATAATATTCTCGAGTCACGTCTCGCTGCATCCGAGTTTCTCGGATATTAATGTTGCAGGGTCGCGAAGAAAGAAGGGGAATCCGTGGAGCCTGGGGCTTGACTTTCGCTCGTCCGTTACAGCTTCTCTCGCAGATTGGTCCTCTTCCTCCTCGATGTTGTTTAGTCCGTTACGTTTTTATTCCCATCCCGATGGATTGGTCACAATCGAATCGTTCCCTCGAATCGCTTTAAAAGAGAAAAGAACACCGTTTGTCGACAGCTTGTTTTATGGGCTTGCAGTGTTTCATCCGGAGGACTGGTTAACCAACTTTTATGGGATGCATCCTGCGCACGAACTTTCTTCGCGAGATAAAAAGCTGTTCATATTAATTAAGAATTTCCGATTCGTTTATTTAAACGATCGACAAATCTATTTGACGTAAGATCGGTAATTTTCACGGTATCTTTCTTTGGACGAAATTTACATTACAAAAATATCGAACGGCCTTGGTCCTCGAGTCTAACCGAAGAGAAAAATATCATAAATTTTTTCCACTTGTATATGAACCAAATTTTTTTCGATCGACCATCACGAAAGCGAAAGGATACGGTAGATTTTTTTTTCCCCGAAGTTTTTTCGAGGAATAGAAACTTGTGCGCTCGGTGTCTGCTGCTCGATACTTCCTCGACGCTTTATCTTGAGAATGATCGTATGATCGAGGAGGACGCAATGGGAATCCCGCGAAAAAAAGTCTAACATCGTAACGAAATCGTGTGTAATCTCCGTGAGGTGAAAGGCTGAATTCGAAGTGAAAGGTGACGGGAAAATTATTTTTATATTTATGGTACTCGAGAAAATTTGGTACTTGTTAAGAAGGCGACGATTGTTGGAGACGACGTTTTTTCTAATCAGATCCGAGGAGACGATTCGACTTATAGTTGGTGGTAACAGGTTTGCATAGTAATAACGGGTATAAACTAAGCAAACAATGGCTTATGGAACGTCGCTGGAATACTTGACACATTAGCATGCTAATGAGAATATTTGAGTCACGTAAATATTTGTCGCACGTAGATTCGATTATATTTCATTTCGGTAAAACGAATTGAAAATAATTGAAAATAGCCGTTTTTAACGATGCTTTGGAAATTTCCAATGATCTATGAGATTAAATATATTTCGCTAGATTTCTTGCGCCGCTCACGTGATAAATCGAATACAGTTTTTATTAAATCGCTTAGATTAAATCGAGACGGATCGAAGGGGCAACTTTTCTTTTTTTCTTTTCTCTTTTTCTTTTTTTCTGCTAGAGAAAGAAATTTTGAGATGATCATTACCCGTTTGAGAGAACTGCTGTAGAAAAAAAAGATCCGTGGTAACTCGTTAGCGATGTGCGGTACGATTACGCAAAATTGCTTACGGGAAACGGAGTAAGCCTGCGTTTAATCGTTGCACAAGAAAGGATGCTTCCCTTCCCTGTAACTAAGCCGTGCCCATAATACAAATCGTGCCTTAAGTCCTATTTATTATACAACGAGCTAAGATTACATTGAAAAAAGAGTTGAAGAAGGATTCGAATGTTATTTAAAATAATCCCGTATGAAAGTTTTGGTAGCTCGTTTCACCTGCAGCATCAGAGGGAGGCCGGTGATGAAAGTGGCGTACAGTGGACGAATTTGATTCGTTCTAAGGTAATCGGGCACGGTGAAACCCGGCAAGGATATAAAATGATCTCATCGTCGAAGAAATTGGTATACGAGCAGGTAGTATCGTATTGTGAGAGCCAGGGCCCGGCTAAACTCGAGTTAACGAGAAGCGTTCCTCGCGTATCTTGCCCGTCACATCGTTGCGATGTTTATCGAAATAAGAGCGAAACGCGGAGGGCCAACATTCTCGACAATAAAAAAAAACGTTGATACAATTTTTATCTTGGTGAAACAGCGTAAGCGAAAGATACATAAAGCGACAAAAGGAACTAATCCTTCATTAGTTTATTTGCATATGAATATCGTCAGGATTTATTTCACGTCGGCCGAGCAAGTAATTAATAACTTCCCGACCGATTTTCATTTTCATAAATTATAACAAATTTTTCTCCTCGCTGATCGAAGTGTTCGATTTCGAAATCGAATCTTGTACAATGGTGATTGTGCTCGTTCGAAATATATATAAAAATTAT